CCCCAAAACCCCAAAACCCCAAAACCCCATTTGTTATATAATAGATTGAAATCTAATGGAAGCCAATAATTTTCAGGAATCCACAAATGAATCCCTGGAAGAGGTCTGAAAAACGGAAAGAGATCTCTCCGAAGGGGAGCATGGAATTAATCACCAACTGATAGATATAATATGAGAAAAATACTCTTTTAGACTTTCGATGTGCAGTGATGAAGCAGAAAAGGTAATAAACCTTACGGAAGAGACTTGGAGTACCATCAATACTTTGAAGAGCTGTGCTAACCTCAAGATACGTTTACCAGATTGAAAAGGAATATATGTTAAATGCTTGCCTATTAAGTATTGGAGAGAAAGTTCTAGATCAAGTTCGGCATTAACTAACTATAAAAGCATTCTTCCAAATTTTTTAAGATCTTGATTCCCAAAGAAAGTAGAGGGATGAAATTTTTCAATTCCAAGTCGGTTTACCAATCTGAAAAAATTGTTAAATATGAAGGTTCTTATGGAGAATTTCAGCTCAGTAACTAGCCATCTTTCTTTCTCAAGAATAGTTGTTGGAAAAGATCATTTACAAAAGATCATGTATGGATCAAGACATGCTTGGATGCTGGAATTGATTGATTGCATATTTTTAAAACAGAAATTCAGTAACTCTTTTCAGAACTATCAAGGAGATTCAAAATTTCAGATGATGGTGTTTTTGATCCAAGAATGAAAGTATTTTGGCCCTGAACGGAATGGACTATACCACATGTTTGAAAGCATTGCTACAGCAGTCATAAAATCTCCGTTCAAAAAGAAGATGATGAGGATGTTATTTTCTTCAAAAATAAAAATAAGAAATCTCTCTAAACTATGTGAGAGTATCGAATCTGAATTCCCTTTTGCAAGATCTAAGGCAACTTTAAAGTCAATTGAGATCAAGTTTTATTAAGAAAATGAATTACATATCTTGTTCAATCTTATTCTTATCTGTTGACTTGTTAAATTCAGTAATGAATGGGATAAAGGCTCAAAGCAGAATGTGCTGTTTTATCCGATTTCTGAATAAAAAAAAACTAAAATCTTTATTGAAGGAATCAAATAAACCTTGTTTTTTTAGAGTATAAATAGAGTTACTCAAATTAAATAAATTGGAAATAATTATAATGTGGAATAAGTATGAAGATCTTTGCCAATCAAGGTTATGTCAATAAGATCAATTTAAATCATATTTAAAGTACAAATCTGATGCATTGAATATCTTTTGAAAGCAGTGCGTTAAAAATATAATTTCGAATCCAAAAAATATTCCTCAATGAAATCTATCTAAAATTAGATAGAAATCGAAGTACCGGAATAAGATTTTTCTTAAAAAATTTATTGTCTTACTTTGGATTCAAACTAGTCCAAATAAAATTTATGAAGTGATGATATGTTGATCCAAAAATTTACAAGGCAAAGTCTTTGCTTTCAGATTTTAAGACAAGAGTATGGGATTCTACTAGACTGGAGTGTGAAATGGTTACAATTCAAAATTTATAAGGGAAAGAAGAATGACCATCTTATTATATAATTATTTTTATCAGAAAACGGGGTTTTGGGGTTTTGGGGTTTTGGGGTTTTGGGG